AGGCCCATAGTTCCCGGTATTCCATTCATCCGGGCACCGGCAAGATGTATCAGGACTTGCGGCAGCATTATTGGTGGAGGAAGATGAAGAATGATAATTGCTTATCTAGCTCGGTGTCTAAATTGCCAGCAAGTAAAGTATAAGCATCAGAGACCTGGTGATTTGCTTCAGAAGATGGAGATTCTTGAGTGGAAGTGGGAGCGTATCACTATGGATTTTGTTATTGGACTCCCACGGACTCAGAAAGTTCGATGCAGTTTGGGACATTGTGGACAGGCTGACCAAGTCGGCTCCTTTCATTTCGGTGGCAGTTACCTATTCTTCAGAGCGATTAGCTGAGATCTACTTCCGTGAGGTCGTTTGTCTTCACAGTGTGCCCGTGTCTATCATTTCTGATCGAGGTACGCAGTTCACCTAGCACTTCTGGAGGGAATGACAGCGTAAGTTGGGCATGCGGGTTGAGTTAATCACAGTGTTTCATCCTCGGACGGACGGGCAGTCCGAGCGCACTATTCAGATATTGGAGGATATGCTTTGCGCATGTGTTATAGACTTCGGAGGATCGTGGGATCAGTTCTTCCCCCTTGCAGAGTTCGCCTACAACAACAGCTACCAGTCGAGCATTCAGATGGCTCCCTATGAGGCATTATACGGTAGGCGGTGTCGATCGTTAGTTGGGTGGATCGAGCCGGGGGAGGCTCGATTGTTGGGTACAGATCTAGTACAGGATGCCTTGGATAAGGTCAAGATTATTCAGGATCGACTTTGCACAACTCAGTCCAAGAAGAAGAATTATGCAGACCGTAGAGTTCGTGATGTTGCATTCATGGTCGGGAAGAGAGTGTTGCTCCGGGTATCACCCTTGAAGGGTGTAATGAGGTTTGGAAAGAAGGAAAATTTGAGCCCTAGGTATATCGGGCCCTTTGAGATTCAGGAGAGAGTGGGAGAGGTGGCTTACAGGCTTGCGTTGCCATCAGGGTTATCAGTAGTTCATCCGGTGTTCCATGTATCCATGCTCCGGAAGTATCACGCCGATCCGTCCCATGTGTTAGATTTCAACTCTGTCCAGTTGGAGAAGGATTTGACTTACGAAGATGAGTCGGTGGCTATTCTAGCCTAGCAGGTTCGTCAGTTGAGGTCCAAGAGTTATCCTTCGGTTCGAGTGCAGTTAAGAGGTCAGTCCGTCGAGGCAGCTACTTAGGAGTCCGAGTCGGACATGCGGAGTAAATATCCCCACATTTTCACCAGTTCAAGTACTTTTCTATGTCCGTTCGAGGACGAACGGTTATTTTAGAGGTGGAGAATGTGATGACCTGATAGGTCATCTTATGTTTTGAAACCGAATTCTGTGATACGAAGCCTTAAATATCTTATTTCAGCCTTCCTCGATTTGCGTACATAGTCCGGGCGTCTTTTCGGAAAGCGTTTATGTTAAAAACTGAGAAAAATATGAAATTTTACCTTAAAATCTACTTGAGTTGACTTCGGTCAACGTTTTAAGAAAACGGACCCAGATTCGTGTTTTGACGATCCCGGTGGGTCTGTATCATGATTTGGGACTTGGACGTATGTCCGAAATAAAATTCGGAAGTCCCTAGCCCGAATTACCGCATTTTATAGAAATTTAAAAGTTTAAGACATAATGAACTTGAAATGTTTGATCGATGTTTGACTTTTGGATACCGGGTTGGTATTTTAGTTTCGGAGCCCGGTATAGGTCCAATAGTACATTTATGACTTGTCTGTCAATTTTGGTGAGAAACAAAGTGGGTTTGACGTGATTCAAACGTCTAGTTGTGAATGCGATCGATTGGTCGCATTTGCGATAAGTCAGTATTCGCATTTGCGAACTTTTCATAGCAAATGCGATGATTGCAGAGGTGTGAGTCTTCGCAAATGCGATGGATTTCTCGCATTTGCGGGATTCGCAAATACAAATGCGACATCTGCAACTGATCAAAACTTAACTTAGACGGGATTTTTGGTTCATTCTTCAAATTTTCAAAACCTAGAACCCAGAGGCGATTTTTCCAAGACTCTTTCTTCCCCAAATCATCGGTAAGTGATTCTAACCTATTTCCTTTCAATCTTTCATTATATTTCACAAGTTTTTAACCTAAAATCTAGTGTTTTCATGGTGGAATTGAGGATTTTTGGGTAGAAATTAAGGATTTGATAAATTGGGAATTTAGACCTCAATTGAGGTCGAATTCCAAAGCAGATTACATAACCGGGCTCGGGGTAGAATGGGTAATCAACTTCAGGATTGGACCAAGCGGGCACGGGGTTGACTTTGGTTGACTTTTTCAAAAATGGCCTAAATTGAATTCTTTGCAATTATGGGGTAGTTCATAAGACTTAATTTGAATCGTTTGGTTGATAATTTGTTAGATTCTATTGGTTCGGAGGCTTGTTTGAGAGTCAAAGTTGTGATTGAGTAGTGAGTGGTCTTTGAAGCGAGGTAAGTGTTGTGTCTAACCTTGACTTGAGGGAATTAGGAACCCTCAGACTATGTGCTATGTGAACTTGATGTGAGCGGCGTATATGTGAAGTGACAAGTGCTTATGCACCGCCGAATTATCTGTTTTCCCTGTTTCCCCGTTCTTCTTAGATTAGCTCTTTCCCTGTCTTAGTTGTTATATGCTCTAAATGTGTTCCCATACCTAATTGCTACATGTTAGTCATTGTTTCCCCATGTCCATGATATTAGTTCTTTCCATAATTTTCATGATTTCCTACTATTTTCTCAAGTTGGTTTATTTGTACCTTCTAGTTGTAAATTCTGGATTGGTCTCGCTGCGTAGTATTACTTATGCGGATTATCATGTTGTACAAGGTGTCCTATCTGTTTTAGTTTGGTGTTTAGGAATTGTAAACGGTTTTCTGTGATTTGAAATGTGAGTTTTACTGTGCATATTGAGTACTTGATATTGATATGGTAGGATTGGGTTGCACGCCGCAACAGGTGAAATAAGGGTGGTATGTTAAGGTGGAATAAGGGTAAATCTATATTGTACGGTGGGAACGGGTTGCACACCGCAACAGGTGTAATAAGAGTGGATTGTTTTGGTGGAATAAGGGTGAACTATGATTATGATATTGTGATACGGTGGGATCGGGGAGCGCGCCGCATCACTTATATATATATTCATTGTTGTTCATGTTGTTATGAGGAAATAAGGGAGGACAATGTGACGTACGGTGGGATCGGGTTGCGCGCCACAACAACCTGTGTGTTTATATTTCCTTTGGGTTGTGATAGTCTTATGGTATTTCCCTTTTGCACTTAAGGATTGGTATATTCTGAACGTCGTTGACTTATTCCTGAAGTTGTAGCTATCGTTTTCAATTGACTGATTTACTTCGCTCTGCATTTCCTTTTCTGTCTATATTATTTATATTGCGTACATGTTGTAGTGTGAGTGATCCGCCTTAGCCTCGTCACTACTTCGTCGGGGTTAGGTTCGACACTTATAGAGTATATGAGATCGATTGTACTCATACTACACTCTGGACTTTTTGTGCAGATTTTGGTGTCGGCCCGAGCTGATCATAAGGTTAGCAGCTGGACTCATTCGACAAGAGACCCAAGGTAGATTTGTCGGCATCCGCAAACACTGGAGTCCCTTTCTAGTCACTTTACTTTACTGTTTCTTTTCTTGCAAAACAGTGTATTTCCTTTCAGACTCTGTTTGTAGTAAATCGTAGTAACTCGTGAGTTGTGACTCCAGATCCTAAATATAGCAGATATTATGGCATTCACAGTATTCCGCACTCGTTTTATTTCGTTTTAGCGTATTTGACTTTATTTACTGAAATGTATAAAACTTGAGTTAATGATTCTCTAATGTTGGCTTGCCTAGCAAGTGAAATGTTAGGTGTCATCACAGTCCCGAATGTGAAAATTTCGGGTCATGACAAGTTGGTATCAGAGCACTAGGTTGTCTAGGTCTCACAATTCACGAGCGGGCTTAATAAAATCTGGAGGATCGGTACGGAGACGTCTGTACTTTTCTTCCAAAGGCTATGAAGTTTAGGAACAAATTTCACTTCTATTCTTCTCTGTCGTGCGATTTTGTTCTGTCAATGCTAATTGAACTCTTCTACTCTTATTCTCTAGCAGATAGCGAGAACACATACTGCATCTTCAGGTGAGCAGCAGCCAGAGCCCCCAGTGGCAACTCCTACTAGGGGTAAGGGTCAAGGCCGAGGCTGTGCCAGAGGCAGGGACAGGGCTCAACCCAGATCCCGAGAAGCAGCCCCAGCAGTGGAGCCTCAGGTAGAGTTTGACGAGGAAGTTCTAGCCCAGACTGTTCCATTCGAGCTAGCTCAGGTTCCGGAGGGGTTCATTGCCACCCCAGTGCTTCAGGATGCTTTGATCCGTTTGGTGGGCCTTATGGAGAGTGTGGCCCAGACTTGCACATTTCCCATAGCACCAGCCTTCTCTCAGGCTGGAGGAGGAGCACAGACTTTTGCTACCCACACTCCGGAGCAGATGGTTCCCCGGTATCAGACTCCAGCAGCTCATCCAGTCGGAGTAGTTGAGAGCTTGATTTTAAAAATGAATTAACTTAGAAAAACAACCCGAGATCCCAAAATACTTTCTTCATTGTAAAGAACCGATTAATACTTGGAGAAAACTTTCCAAATTATGACTTAGTACTGCCCCAAAATGTTAAAGTGTTATAAAGATTCATTATCCTTATACTACTGATACGTGAGAAACCATTAGGTTATTGGCTCTAAGAATATATATCATAAAGCAAAGACTCAATGTTGTGAAGAGCGTGAAGCGAGGAAAAGCGACAACCCCCATTTTGCTTAAAGCGAGAAGCGGAACGCTCGCTTTTTTGAAGTGAAGTGAAATTTTTAAAAAATAAATAAATAAATACTGCATAGACAACACATATAATTGTAAACAAATGTTCAATACTTCAATGTAAAAACTAAAGAGTAGCATCAATTAAAGCACAAAATGAGTATCATATTCTTCTACAAGATTGTCAAATTCTTGTATTCCACTATCATTATTATATTGCTCGTCATCTTCTTCAAATTCTTCTTCTTCATCAACTAGGGACAAAGTAGCGGCCTCTTTTCCCTTCCTCTGTGAACTTGAAGTTGAGGTACTCCCCCTCAAATCATAAATCCTCTCCCCAATTCCACGCGCCTCCGCAATATCACCTCAAGTGAAATCAGAAGTTTCCTCAAATACTTCTTTATCTGCATGATCTTTCGGGACTCCAGTTAGCCATTCATTAACATCATCGATGTTGTCCAAACTAATTGGATCAGTTACATTGCGAGCGTTTTAACGACGCATCAATGTTCTATTGTACTTAATAAAGACTAGATCATTGAGACGCTTCAAGGTTAGTTTGTTCCTCTTTTTGGTATGAATCTACAAATAATAAGTAATTAGTAAGATTAGGACAATTGAGATATAATTTAATTATCTCAATATACTAAATCTTTCTTCTTAGTTCTTACATGTTCAAACACGCTCCAATTCCTTTCACACCCGGATGAGCTACATGTTAGACTTAGAACCTTGATNTAAGTAATTAGTAAGATTAGGACAATTGAGATATAATTTAATTATCTCAATATACTAAATCTTTCTTCTTAGTTCTTACATGTTCAAACACGCTCCAATTCCTTTCACATCCGGATGAGCAACATGTTAGACTTAGAACCTTGATTGCAAACTTTTGTATATCTGGAGTGAAATGGCCATATTGCTTCCACCATTCAACTGTAGAAGTAGAACAAATATTCAAAACATAATATTGATAACGAAATAACTTATTAACTATAAAGCAACATATAAGCACTCGCTCACCTGGTGACTTCATCTTTCTTTGTCTAATCGCCATGTTTTTCCAAAAAGTTGCTTAGCATTCCTATAAGTACTAAATTACTCTGTTATTTTATCTTGTACAGATTCTTCAGGTATCAACTTCTCAATACATTCAATGTATCCCTTCCACAAATCTTCATCTCCTAGAATCCTCTCTTCATTGTCATAAAACAATTCAGGTTCAAAACAAGTCCAGCTGCATGCAAAGGGCGATGAAGCTGACCATCCCACCTTTTATCTATGATCTCAAAGACTCTATTGTGTTTTCTTTAATCACTAAAAGAGGCTTGAATATCCTCCTTTGCTCTATCCATTGCTTCGTAAAGGTAGCCCATTGGTGGCCTTTTCTCCCCATCCACCAAATGAAGCGCTTTAACTAAAAGACCATCAATCTTCAATGCATGAACCACATTATTCCAGAATGAAGGAAAAAGTATAATATCTGCAGATTCTCTCCCTCGAGCTTCCTTTCCATAGGCACTGTTAGTGTACTCATCTGAAACAAACAACTTCTTCAAATTGCTTTTTTGCTCATACATCCTATGCAAAGTCAAGAAAGCGGTAGCAAATCTTGTCTTTGCAGGTTTCACCAAGCTTCTTTGTTTAGTGAATCTCTTCATCATATTCAATAACAAAGGCCTTTGAACAATATAGGAATGCACTCTAATTGCCTAATTAAAGACTGAACTGAAGGGTCTTTCCTTGAAATCACCGAAGATCAAATTTAGTGCAATGTGTTGCACACGGAGTCCAATAAATATATGGGTACCCCAACAGACATCAAATCACCAGCTTTAACATTTTCACTGGCGTTGTCCGTGACAACTTGAATAACATTTTCTGCTCCAATAGTCTATTGTACTCTTGAACAAGGAGTACATTTTGGTTGAATCAGTCAAAGAGTTGCTTGCATAAACAGACTCAAGAAACAGGCTTCCCTTAGGAGAATTCAACAATATATTGATGATCATTTTTTCATTTTTTGTCGTCCACTTATCCATCATAATGGAACAACCAAACTTGTTCCATTCTACTTTGTGCTCCTCCGCGATTTTGTTTACCTCTTCTACCTCTTTTTTTAGATAAGGACCTCTAACTTCATGATAAGTTGGAGGTTTCATTCATGGACCATATTGGCCTACGCCTCGATAAAAGCAGAAAAAGTGTCAATATAATTAACACAATTAAAAGGAAGACATGCATTAGACATCCACCGCGCAAACATTATAACTGCATGATCCCTTAAAATCGCTTTGGCATCAATTTGAGGATTATCACTTTTTCCTTCCTTATCTCCAAATTTTTGCGGGAAGTAACAATCCATAGGACCTTTGGTTTAGCTAGTAGATCCACGACTAGAAGACATTGTTTGCATCTTTCCCCATTTTTGTGATTTTGATGAAAGCGAGGAAGCATTGTCACCTTCTTCTATTTCATCATCGTCATCATCAAGATTATACAATTTTTGTTCATGAATCATTTGAGTCTTTAACTCTCTTTTTTTGAAGGAATGTTTTCAATTCTTCCTTCACATGAGACGAAAGTTTAGGACAAGATGTGACATTTGGATCACCACCGATTAGATGCGCTTTTTGACGATAGATTCCCCCATTTGAAATCTTATCACAAAAAAGACATCTAATTGTCATCTTGTTGGTCCCGCTAACTCTTACAGAGTAAGTTCAAGCCGAGTCTTTCCTATCTTCTTTTGATGTAATTAAAAGAACAACTACATAACACATAAGAAAGGCAATTAGAACTAAGAATAAAAGATATAAAAATTAGAGGAATTCTATGTTAAAAACTGGGAAGTATTTTCTGAAAAAGAACCGAAGGTAAAAAAAATTAAAGAAATTCGCTAGCATTTCGTTATTTTTTGAACATTTAAACAGTGAAAGAAAAAGAAAAAGAAGACTTGAACTTGAAGTTGAAGAAGAAGAAGAACCCTAGTTGATGCTTTCAAAATTCAGAAGTCGAAATCGGGTCCCGCTAACTCTTACAGAGCAAGCCCAAGCTGGGTCTTTCCTATATTCTTTTGGTGCAATTAAAAGAACAACTACATAACACATAAGAAAGGCAATAAGAACTAAGAATAAAGGATATAAAAATTAGAGGAATTCTATGTTAAAAACTAGAAAGTATTTTCTGAGAAAGAACCGAAGATAAAAAAAAATCGCTAGCATTTCGTTATTTTTTGAACATTTAAACAGTGAAAGAAAAAGAAAAGAAGACTTGAACTTGAAGTTGAAGAAGAAGAAGAACCCTAGTTGATGCTTTCAAATGCTTTCAAAATTCAGAAGTTGATGAAGAAGAAGTCGACCAATGTCTCTGCTTTAAAATCATAGTCGCTGTTGTTCGATTAATGAAAGACCAGTGTTTAATCACAAAAATTTGTTTTTAATGTTTCTCTCGCTTCGCTTCGCTTTCCCGCTTCTTGCTTTTTAGTGGGAAGTAGTCGCTTTTCTACACTTGAGTCACTTCACCGTGCTGAAGCGTGCCCCTGCTCGCTTAAAGCGAGGAAGCGGGCTCTTTTTAAACACTACAAAGACTCTAAATGACTAATTAAAGTTCAATCATTAGGTGACAATTCTACGTTCAAGAGTAAACACATATAACTGAAATAAAAGTTAGTCGCAATAGCAGGTAAGTAAAATAAGTGAAACAAAGTGAAATAATCTGAAGCCATGTCCAAGCCCCACAGAAGATTTTATCACCTGCATTTTTTTTATGTCTAAACACGGTAAAAGCTGGAAAAGGGACTCGGGGATGTGCAGCCTCCACGTGGTGTTACGGCGTCGTTGAGTCTCAAAGTGAAACTCTTCGGCTCCGCTGTTGTTGGGCAGTGAACGGGGGTCGTCGATCTCGAATCTACTCTTTCATCACGGGCAGATTCGAATTAGAATCAAGCGAACTAAAATCTCTCTGTTGTGATTAAAGTCAATAGAGACAGAGAAATTTTTAAAGAGAGACAACAACGGCTAATGAGTAGTGTTTGATTCTAGGCAGTGTTTGAGAGTGAAGCTCTTCTGTTGTTCAAGTTAAGTAAACGAGACAAAGGCTTCTCATAGTTGGTAAGATTTGAGAGGTAGAGTGGCGACTGAACAGCTTTGAGCAGTGGAAAATTCGTGTAAGCCTTTAAAGTGAAGTGGGCGACTGAAAAACCTTGAAGCTCAAAATGGTGGCTACCACCAAAAACATCCAAACTTAGGGTTCTCCCAACAGTGAATTTGGGCGGGATTTTTAGAATTAGCCGTTTGAGAGTCCAGACAGACCTTCAACAACGGTCAAAAATCTTTTGAGATAACAGATGAGAAATGAAGAAAAATCCATTCCAAAAGGAAAAGATTAATATCTAACCTCTCGTGACTTACCCTGCTACAAATGTCGATGAAGTGATTCAAGAGACTTTCACAAAAATGGGGGAGCATTTCTTTGAATAAGGTTGAGGAAAGTCGCACCTTTTACCAAAACAGGGATGAAGCCAAAATTGCTTTCTGCTACTACACGCAGAGGAGCAGAAGGAGAGATCAGTTAGGGTAACGTCGTTGTTTGGTTAAGGATTCTAGAGGATTCTATGGTGTGGGCTAGGCGAATTGGGCTTTCAAGTTGGGTTAAATGAGTTGACAAATTTGGACTTCTCTAGTAAATGGGCTTAACCGAAATGGGCTAGTTCTTTTAAGATTTTGGTTCATTTTCCTTTCTTCCTTGTATATTTCTTTGAGCTTCTATTTAGATTTAAAATAATTTTATTAGCCACATTATATAATACTACATAATATTATTAGTTAAACTAGTTAATGTTACTTAAAATAATTATGGTAGCTAGAATTTAAATTTAGAAAATAACTTACACTAATTGTTAAGTAAAACATCATCACAAGTGTAAATATTTATAAGATGTTTAATTAAAAAAATATTACTAATTAATTATATAAAGAGAAAATTGTGTTTTTGGAAATAATAATAGATATAACTATAATAGTTTTAATAATAATAACAAATAGGCATAGTTTGTATTAAAAATATAGTAGAATAACTATCTTATATTATTAGTGATATAGGAAGTTTAAAGATATAATTTGGAAGAAAGGAGGGACAAAATTGCATATCAATACCATTTTCTTTTGAAATTATGGAAATGGGATTATGGAACAAGCCACAATTTCAATCCAGTAGCATATTTCGTCTCTCTCAACCATCAGAGGAAAAGATTTTTTCTCGGATTCTCCTCTCAATCAGCCATCCGAAAATGATTGGATCAAATTAAATTTCTTAAGATTGTTAGTAATCCATGTACAAAACCAGAAAATTTTGTAAAGTAAAAGAGAAACAAGAATGCATATGAAGAACAAAATTAAATTCGAGCCCACTGAATTCACAGTGTGTCCTTAAAGAATTTAATCCTCTCATTGTTGCTCAAGGTTATGGATTAATTCATCACAGGATAGAACAGAATAACTATCATGTGATAGGTACATTACAAATCACAGAACTTCAGCGAATTCAACAAAGGGAACAAATCACACTTGACACTACATTTTATTTGAAAACTAATGCAACAATGTAAAAAATAGGATAGAAGTTTTCAGATTTTCTATGTATAAAAAATGAGGTCTAAGCATCTAAATTTATAGACAATAAAAGAATAAAACGAACAGATAGCAATTCAAGAGATAGACTCTTTCATTCACGCCCCTAAATAAAAACTCAACAAATATCAATTCTCCTTATTAAGCCACGTACTCACCAAACCACAAACGACTAGGAGACTGTAATATCCTTGTAAAGGTAAAGCGTGCAGTGACTTTACATAGGGATAAAACAATGACATATTTACTGATTGACTCCAATATGTGAATTCAAACAATAAGCATTATTATTTTAACGCTAAAATATGAACTCACAAGCTACTAGCAAATGACAAGGGAAACATCAATATGTGGGCTTAGCAGCTAAATTCACAAATTCCCTTTAGAATTTAGATTAGTATTCTATTTTATTTTATTTTTAATAAAAAAAAATTATGGGCATCACTTATACCTCAAGCCTAATCTTTAGAGCTTTCACAAGTGTAAACTCTGACGGCCTTAAAGTAGAGGGCATTGTAAGCATTTAAATTTTATCGGATTTAATACATAAAATAATTTGGACTATATTAAATTCAAGATATTAATCCAAACAAATATTGTGGCTAGTAAATTGGACTAATTATTTAAATCCAATATATATGTGTTGGGTTGGTCTATTTAATTGGATTACAAATTAAATGATAAGCCCACTTCATTAGCCCAATATCCAAATGACTATTAGCCCATCTTAAAATCCAAACTCATGCTACATGTCAAGTGATGTGGCAATCCAAGTCAAAAGAACGAGCTAATAAAATCACGATACGTGTCAAGTGACGTGGCAATCCAAGCCAAATAAATTAACCAATGAAATCATGCCATGTGTCAAGAAAGTGTGGCATACCAAGTTAAATCAACAACCTTTAGAGTTGTGCCAAGTGTCTAGATGATATTGGTCAGTTCAAATAGACCAATCAAATCACAGAGCCACACCACTCTCTACAACTATAAATAGAGGTCTTCATAAAGCTAGAAGATACCAAAAGTGATAACAAGAAGCAAGCAGAGAGCTCGTGGATTAAACACCGCAAATTTCTCTACAAGCTACAAATTCAAGCACTTAATTAAGCTTGTAACGACCCGACCGATCGTTTTGAGAGTTATAGCCCCGATCCTCTGTCTACTATTTTTTTCGTGTCTTTTTCTACTTACGTGTCTTTTCGGGAGGTGTTGGTTGTGGTTTCGGAGTGTTTTGGGACACGTCGTCCCTAAACGGAAGCTTAAGTCTTAGGATTTTGACCGTAGTCAGAACTATGTAAAAATGACTCCGTAATGGAGTTTTGTTGGTTCCGTTAGCTTCGTTGCGTGATTTTGGACTTAGGGACGTGTCCGAATTTGTGTTTTGGAGGTCTGTAGCTCATTTAGGCTTGAAATGGCGAAAGTCAAAGTTTGGGAGATTTTGACCGGCAGTGGACTTTTTTGATATCGGGGTCGGATTAAATTTAGAAAGTTGGAGTTCGTCCGTAAGATTGAATATGATTTGTGTGCAAAATTTAGGGGTCAATCGGATGTGGTTTCGTAGGTTTCGGCATTAGTTTTAGAAATTAAAAGTTTCAAATTCATCAAGTTTGAATCGGAGAGTGAATTGTGTTTTTAGCGTTGTTTGGTGTGATTCGAGGGCTCAACTAAGTTCTGTAACGACCCGACTTGTCGTTTTAAGAATTAACGCCTCGGTCAGTGATTTAAGCTCTCGAGCAGCTTCGCAATATGTATTATGACCCGCGGGTGTGGTCGAGTTTGAATTACTGAAAATACGAAATTAAATTAAAAGAACAATCCTTATTTAGAAGCTTAAATGGAAAGAATTGACTAGAGAGTTGATTTTTGAGCAAACAACTCCTGAATAAAATTTTGATGATGTCAATAGCTCCGTATGATGATTATAGACTTAAGGGCGTGTCCGAAAAATTATTTGGAGGTCTGTAGAGGAATTAGGCTTGAAATGTCGAAAGATGAATTTTTGGGAAGTTTGACCGTGGGGATGGCTTTTTGGTATCGGGGTCGGAATCTAATTTTGAAAATTTTTATAGTTCCATTATATTATTTATGACTTGTATGAAAAATTTGAGGTCAATCGGAGTTGATTTGATACGTTTCGGCTTAAAATATAGAAGTTGGAAGATTTAAAAACTCATAATTTGATTCGATGCGCGATTCATAATTTCGGCGTTGTTTGGCGTTGTTTGAAGTCTCAACTAAGTTCGTATTGTATTTTGGTACATGTTGGTATATTTGATTGAGGTCCCGAGGGCCTCGGGTGGATTTCGGAAGGTAAACGGAATGGATTTCGGACAAAGAGGGTTACTGAAAATTTATGTTGGAGAGCTGTTCGCCAGAAATTTTTGGTGCATGGAGCCAATTTTGGAAGCTTATATCTCGTACTCTATAAGGAATATGAAAATATTTAAAACATCAAAGTTGTAGACCTTTGATTTTAGTTTTCAGAATGTTAAACCATTCATCATTTGGACATTTATACAAAAGGTTATGATGGATTGAATGAAGGCTGGTATGGCAGTTTCGCTAGAAATTTCTGATGTGTAGAGCCGACTTTGGAAGCTTATATCTCGCAATTCATAAGGAATCAGAAAATTATCAAAACATAAAAGTTGTAGTTCTTTGATTCTAGTTTCCAGAAAGTTAAACCATTCATCATTTGAATATTTATACATAAAATTATGATTGGTTGAATGAAGGCTAGTGCAAGCAAATTCTGGTGCGGACTTTTAGTGACGGAAAATGGACTTTTAGTGACGGATGGGCAGAAACTTAAGGACCAAAAATGGTCACTTCCTTCATTTCGTTTTGGATTTTTGGAGCACGGTTCTTGGGCGATTTTTACGGAAAAACATTGGGGTAAGTGTTCCTTATCCTATATTGATTTTATTTTATGATTCCATACTCATTTACAACATGAATTCGTGAATTTATGGAAGAAAAATCAAGATTTTTGCCAAATCTTCCAAAAATAAAAATTTAAGATTTGGAGGTCGAGTTGTTATCAGAATTTGATAAAATTGGTATGGGTGGACTCGTAATTGAATGGGTTATTGGATTTCGTAATTTTAGCCGGATTCCGAGACGTGGGCCCCACGGACAAATTTTTGAGTTAATTTCGGATTTTTATTGAAAAATATAGTATTTTCTTATGGAATTGATTCTATAATTTTTGTTGACTGTATCAAATAATTATAACTAGATTCAAGCGGTCCGGAGGTCAATTCAAGCAAGAAGGCAAATTTGGAATATCAGCATAACTTCAAATAGGTAAGTGTCTTGCCTAACCTCGAGTGGGGGAATTACCCCTTAGGCATCGAGTCTTATGTTTCATTTGTGAAATATGAAAAGCCGTGTACGCTAGGTGACGAGTACGTACTCCGGCTTATATGTGCAAATTTTATTGGATTAAAGTCTTAGGCATTATTGTGTAGTAAATTGGATAATTGTTGGCATTTATTAAATCATCTAATTGCCATGCCTAAATTCTTGTTGTTGAATTTATTTTTATATGACAATTTGACGTGATTGTTACTTGAAAATGTATGTAATTTCGTGAGTATTGCTGGTTTGATATTTCTTGGAATTTAATTTCATTATGAATTTTTCCTATGCAAATATTTAATTAAGCAAGTTTAAAAAGAAGTGTTTATAATTATCTAAATTTGGACTAATGAAGTTGTTGCCCTATGCTGATTATTTTCTATCTCTGTTGATTGTTTTTTAGATTTTATATATATTGTGTGGAGCCTTGGGCTATTTGTTGTGAAATTAATTGATTTGATTGTATCTTTGGAATTGTTTGTGGACATTGGACAAATTGTGATATGAATTGATTTTGTTATGTTGCCGTGATAATTTTTCGTGTAAATTGTTGTGTTATGTGAGTTATTATTTTGAGGATATAAGGGTGGCATTTCACCGCTGATATTATGTGGGTATAAGGGTGGCATTTCACTGTTGTTATGTTTGTTGGAATATTGTCTGGGCGGAGCGATAAGGGTGGCTATAGGAGAGATAAGGGTGGCAATAGGAGCGATAAGGGTGG